GAATTACAGGCATGTGCTACCACGCCCAGCTGATTTTTTGATTTATTGTAGAGATGAGGTCTCGCTGCCCAGGCGGGTCTCGAACCCTGCGGTCTCAGGCAATCCACTCACCTCAGCCTCCCAAAGGCGTGGGATTACAGGCTGAGCCACCGAGCCCGGCAGCATACTTATTTTTATTAGGGATTTTAAGTACTGATTGGAAGGGTACTCAATGCACATCTTTGAGAAGGATTTAAGCTCTGGCTATAAATTTGTGCCATACAACTTTCCAAGTCCTATCTAACCCTGAGATTCAGAGAATCTACGATTATAAGAAAACTGGGCTGTCATGCCTTAGCTTGAGCAGTGACATTTCTAATCAGTTTTGTTAATCCTGGGATAATAATTTGGCAACTTATTTCATTGGGTTTAACCCAAAAGATATTTCCCAGGGATGCTAAAATATGCTATGGACTAAGGAGGGCAATGTCAGAAAATAAAAACAAGTGCTCTTAGTTTTCATTTAGTTTAATACAATAAATCTAGTATCTTGTATCTAGTAGCACTTGTATCTATATATACAGAAAAATCACATGTAAAATTGTTTTATTCAAGTAAAACTCTATCAAATAGCTAATGTGTATCAGGCACTCTGCTAAGACACTGGAGTTACATTGACAAGGCACATTCAGGACCCTAGAGTGGCTTACTGTCTAGTTAGAGAGAAAGATGTCAAAACAGTTATAGGCATGTCATTAGAGAATGAGGAGCAAAATGCAGTAGCACACAGGACCGAATACTAATTGCTTGGTGGAAACCCAGGAAATGTTTCTCAGAGGGGAAACTGTAGGAAATATGTCAAAGACACTAAATTTCACTGAGAATCTAAGAAGAAGAATCTACAGACACGGGTAGACCTTGCAAATCATGAGGGCCCTTCATGTTTCCGTGATTCTCCTAAGCGCTTTGATAAATGTGATTGCAGTTTATTAAATGCAATGCTTTGCACGACACATGCTTAGTAATGTCTGATCAAGTGAAAATTTTAAAAAAACAATCTTTCTTGAGTTTTCACAAATTCTTGAATATAAGCTTTTTGTCTTTAGAAGAATAAGCAGAAATTCTTGGTGGGAGAACCAGTGATATTAGCATGTATGAATATTGTTGGGTCTGCGACTTTATTTGCACTATCTACATTTTCTAAGTAGTTTGGCATACCATATTCCCTATTTGTAACAAGGGGTCATTCATTACCTTATTTATTTAAGATGAAGACAAAATAAAAATTGTAATGAAAAGTTTATGGGACAAATTTCTAGAAATAGCTGACTCCTAGTTTCTAGTCAATTGTCTGGAGGCATTGCACTTGAGCTAAATATTTGTCAAATTAAGAATGTTCAATGAGTTTCAAATGCATAAGTATTTTATAGATATGAATATCTGATTCACTAATTGTAATGAAAATTCTCTGATTATAATGAGAATTAGTGATGTAGATAAAATGACGGATTAAACAACTGACTAGGTAGAACCTAAGTGAGCAGATGGAAAATGCTGAGGGCATAACTTCAAAAGGCAGGTGAACAGAAGAATGTGTCTATGTACCATAAAGCATCTACAGAAGCATAGCTATTGATAAGTGAATAAACATGACCCTAAGGTCATTACTTGAGTAATGATGAATTCACTGAACATTTAAAAGACACTACAGATGCTTCTTCTGCAGAAAATAATGGAAACCTCTGGGGCTGTTTAACAGATAAGAAGAAATAGGAAGAGATTCTGTTATAGAGGCTGGTCTCTTTGTTTTTGTTTTTGTTTTTTTAGACTCTATTATTACTCACTTGCTAATGAAGTCATTGAATTCTGCCGACCATAGCTCAGGTTGCCTTAGTTTGGGGGGTGGATTCCTACAAAAATAAGGATCAGTGTTGGAAAGCGTAATTGGTCAGTCAGTGTAGAGTGAGAGGCAGAGCTGAATAGACTAAGGCATTACTATAGTCATAGGTTCTTCTGGTTATAATCAAGGATTGTCTTCGGTTTCCTATTTCAAGACAGAGCATTAGTTATTAATCATTCTTTCCATAAAATGACACATTCCTTGTTTCTCTGAAAACAATATATGACTCAATTTTTCCAACTGTTAATTTTCTTATTTTAAATACTCTTCTTGCTTTTTCCTGACAGCCCTAGAAGAAAACAGCAATTCTTTGGGACTAAAAATTGAATACCGGAGAAAAAAATGTTTTCCTACGAGTCCCATAGAAGTCCCTGAGGAATATCCAGGGAGCACAGAGGTGACGTATATGGAATATGGAGGAGAGAGGCACAGTAGAATGTTTTCATGGGTTGTTCTTTTTTTCACTGGATACGTGGCAAGAAACAAGTGTCACAAAAGCAAGGAACTAAAAAGCATTACTAGTTATAAAGCTCTGAATGCCACTTAAAAAATTTGTTATTAATTCCTTTCCATTTAAGAACAAATCTTTTCTTTTGGGGTACATCCATGAATACAAAGGAACATCATTTGAAAACGAGGCTGTTCTAACTCTGTAATCAAGCAACATTGATCAACCATGATAGTGGAATCTGTTGAAGTGCTGCTTTATGTTAATTCTAACAGCTCTTTGTTTTCATTAGTGGAATGGAAATACTTTGCCTTCAGTTCTGCATTACTCCTTAAATAGCTCATAATGAAATTAACGTATAGTTTGTACAGGCTCATTAAAGAAAAGTGCAGCTACTCATCTACTCCAGATCACATCTAAGCTCATTTCACAATGCTTAGGACTATTTGAAGATCTCTATTTGCACATTAAAAGAAGTAATTCCTTTCTCCAAAAATCTCATTTTGCTTCTTGTCCTCTTAAAAATTACCTTTTATGAGATTTATTGCTTTACTTTAGTATAACAAAGTTTTGATTATTTCAGAACACTCAGAATTGGGTAGCTTTTCATATCCCCTTTCACTACATATTTCTATAGTCAGTAATCTTGGAATTTCATTTTAGAGACATGCTGGTGGTAGAAATAATATGAAATAACTAAAACGATGTTGTTTCCAGAATTACTTTGCACACTACATATTCCTTAGGTACACTACATGTCAACAGTCTCATTGATCCTTCATATGGCATCATCCCAAGAGTAATAACTTCAGGCTAAATACGGTGATTTAAACTATAATTAAAATGGCTCAGGAAGTATAGCACTTCTCCTTACATACTGAATGACAACAGTAATTGGAAAATATAAATTAAAAAAAAATTTTATTATAAAGATATGGGATACAATTCAGAGTTAGGTATACAAACATTGATCATGCAAGTACCCTTGTTGAAAACTTTTCCTCAAATTTAATGAAATGTCTTAGACTTGTACAGAGAAGGTTTTCCTTTCTTTTCTGTAATCTTGTTTCCCCATTTACAAAATAAGCAGTATGAAAAGGATGATATATAGCTAAGGTAATATAATTTGAAACAGATAGAACAGGAAATTCAAAGATAAAATGAAAAACAAATTCAAATGCTTTGGTCTTATAATAATTAATTACATGCAACATATTCCAAATTAATCCATTTGGAAATGAATACATCACATTGACATTATTTCTTTAAGACTAGAATATTTTCCCCATGGCTTTGTACATATTATTCTATGTTTTACAGGCATTGGAACCACAAAATTTGTTTAATGGAGCGTGTAGGATCTCCATAGATAATAAGGTGCTTTCTTGGAGTCAAAGAGGTTATTCATTTAAATTTATTGTTTTATATTAACATCGTTAAAATAGCAAATGTTTAAAATTAGTATTTTATCAATAAAGTCTATTTATCATTTTCTTAATAATATTATTTTTAAAGTTCTGAATAAAGAGAAGTCTTAGCAAGTGGTAAGAAATTACTGGACTGGTAGGTGAAGACAAAATCACTGTTGCATTGACTACGGATAGGGTACTTCACTGATTCATTGGGGAATGTATAAAGAGTGGGAAGAAGTTCTATTATCTGAAATAAAACCTTAACAAAAGAGAGAAAGACATACTGATTATCAAGAGATTTTTTAAAAAATGTAGACTAGGGAAATTCAATTACTGACAAATACAGTGTTTTGGAAGAGCAGAATAATATTCCAGGTCACTTTATTCCCAACTTGGTATATATCTGAATATGTGCATGATGAGTATGATGAACACTCAACAACTGTAGCAAGAAAATTGGGCTACAGATACTGAACTCAATGTTAGTCATCTGACCTTGGTATTTTGAAGAGTGCTCTCATGGGATGCAGGTCGGCTAGTGGAGGATCTCCATCACCCAACTCAATGGCTGTAATACCCAAGGACCAAGTGTCACATCTGGCATCATAAGTGGTATCCAATTGTTGTTCACATGCAATCACCTTTTAGAAATAACAACAAAATAGACAAAGTATGTGTGACTCTAATAACATATAGCAAAATAATTACAACAAAGCATTAAGAGGTTAAACTGGTGAAGTTTGATTGCTACAAGGAAAGATAAAGGCAATAATTTAGGAGAAGATCAAAGTAGTATTAGTATTAGTGGTAGTATTTTTATTCTGAGAACACAGAATATTTTAGCAGGTTTACAAATACAAGGGAAGAAACCCATGAAAGGAAATATTTTGAAAATACAGAGCAAAAGAGGAAAGAAACAGTGTCCCAATGGGAAGTGATGGAATCAAATGCACAGCTAGACTGCATAGTTGGACTCACTCAATAAGCATTTGATGAGGGAATGCGGACATTCGCTAGACAAGGATAAAGAACACATCTTTAAAGAGTTAAAAGTGGAAGAAGTAAAGAAAAATAAGCTTGAGGGAAGTCTAGTTAGATGGCCATGATCTTTACTGGCAACAAGAAGTCAAGGATATCCACGGTAGCAATGAGACAAATTTGGAGAAATGCAAAGAGGTTGAAGTCACTAATAAAAAGAAATAAACTGAATAAAAATAAACATTGATGATGATTTACCAACAGCTTATCTAGGATCACCTTAAATTTTAAAACTGCAACCAGGTTTAAAAACATGTCATTAATCAAAGATGTAACTTAGACACAAGGAAAAGGGGGGATCTATCTTTGCAACATAATAAAGATAAGTATTACATAGGAAAATTATTGCATTAATTACTTTGCAATTTATTTCTAAATGTATAAATACAAATACAAATGGACCATGAATGCTAATGATTAACATCAGTAATCACAAAAAGGAAATTCAACTTTATATTTTAAAAATTATTTTTTATATTTTTAAAGTTTTATACTTTGTGAATGCAAACCCACAAGAAAAATTAAAAAATGATTTTGATATTATGGCAGATTTGAATTGTTATCTACAGTACTGTAAAATGATACATAAAGTGAAAGAAATATAAGGCCTTGTCTGAAACAATATTTCACCTTTCTCCACTTAACATCAGTCCTAACGCATTTTTAACGATCCCTATGTTGGCACACTGGAGTTTAGTTGGCAACATTTACAAACGTGTCACTTAGGAGGGGTGATTTCTTCATGAATCAGTCTTTATTCATACCCTGACACTGATGGCAATGATCACACATATCAGTGCGATTAAAAATTAAAAAGAAGGCAATGATAAACATAGCATATAGGGTAGCAGTTACTCTAGAGAGGAGGCAAGATACTGATGATCTAGAGGAAGAGCTAGAGGCAGATGTAAGCTATTGATAACATTCTAGTTCTTGCTTGGGTGGTGAGTTCATGGGCAAATAAACCCCTGGAACCAGTCCATTTCTAAGTATCTGGAGGTTAATAATAAGTACATACACAAGTAAATTATATATATGCATATGTATGTTTACAGAGAGAGACTCGGAGAGACAGAAAGAGAATATATTATCCCAACTTAGAGTTAGTTCGATGGGGACATCACCTTACACAGTGTTTCTTAATCCTTCCTACAAAATTATTTCCAGTCACATGAGAGTGCACTGCTGAAATCACAGAGCATATCCTAAGTACTGAAAGTATGAGTTCCAAGTTTTACATAAAAATATATGTGCCAAATATTCATAGAAACATTATCCATAATAACCAAAAAGTGAAAAAAAATTCAAGTGTCTATTAACTGATAAATGGATAAACATAATGTATTATATACATACAATGAAATACCATTCAGTCATAAATGAAGTATCATTATATGCTTCAACATGGATCAACCTTGAAAACATTACACTGAATAAAAGAAACCAGACACAAGGGCCACATATTAGATAATTCCATTTATATGAAATTTCCAGAAAAGTCCAATCCATAGAGACAGAAAATAGATTAATGGTTGCCTAGGGTACAGGTGTTTGGGGAGAAATGTGGAATGACTGTTAATGAGCATAGGGTTTCTTTTAAAGGGAACAAAAATGTTTAAACTTAGATTGTGAAAATGATTCTACAATCTTGTATATGTATATTTAAAAAAATCAGAATCTCATACACATTAAGTAAGTGAATCATATGGTATATGAATTATATCTCTATAAAACTGTTAAAAAATTTTAAGATACATTCATATGAATTTTCCATTCTGTTATATAGTATATCTTTGTTTGCCTTAGCATAAAAATATATTTTTGGCCACACCAACTTTTTGTTCCTAGTAAAATTGATGCTTCAGGATAATGCATTATTTTTACAGCTTTACACATGTGGTCCTGGAACATCTCCCCATAGGCTCAAGACTGCCTAGGACAATCTTGTTTTATGCTTGCTGTCCTAGAATCACTATAAATATTATCCTTCTTCATTCTCCAATGTGTGCTGGTTTGTGTAAGTTTTATGGTCGCCTGCCATAGTCACCATTTCCCTTGTTCAGTTCATTCTGGCACATTTGTACTCCAATTTGAGAAGAATGGTTTTACATAAATAAAAATACTACCTCTGAGGCATAATCTAATTTAAAAATGTCAAATCAAGAACTTCACTTTTCAACTGATAACTGATTTGAATAAGCTTGCCTCTGGGATTCTAAAAAGACTGAAAGACTTCTATGCCTTTATGGTAAATATATTTATATTTGTTTACATTATTGCTTTCTAATTCTTAGAAATTTGTCAATAATAACATGGAGTGGGATATATTGAATATCTTGATTAACTAGAAAGCTGATTATCCAAAAATATGTTCTTCTTCAAAGCTAGAAAGTACTTATTACAGAGAAGTGAATATAATATGCAGAAAAATCTCAAACATATATTTACATGAGAACTTGAAAAAATTACAGTGAATCTTTATATTTTCTATAACATTCATTAGTTTGCTAAGCAGGAAAGAACTTTCAAGCCCTATTTGTGGTACCATAGGTTTCTTAATAATGAATAATGACTCATCAAAAAAATGACTGTCTAGGAATTGCATATTAAGTGTTTTTACCAAATGGCAAACTTAAATATATAATAATGACTTTGTTACTATAAATTAACATACAAAAACCAAGCTAGGCTATTAATTATATAATAATATAGTTATTATATATTATTTATTATTATTTTAATTGTTAATATATGAAAACAAATGTACTGCTTGATATTTTACCTATATTTTTATTAAACTTCTCATTTGTGTAAATTTTTCATAAGTTTTTAAAATATTGTTAATATATCAGAGCAAACTACAGAAATTCACATTTGAGATTCTCTTATCCAATTTTGTTTTTGCTTATATGGCTATAATTTTTATTCTAAGATGTATTCCCTGTTATAAAGTTTTTTAATCAATTGTATTATTTTAAAAGTTTCTTAAAACAATTTATCCTCTCTCCATATTTTATATTGTTTACATTTTAACTTATTTTGTAAGTAATAATTGAATTAGAATTCAAATAAAAACAGTACACCAGGATATAATCCTCAAACAAATTTAATTATAAGATTTTGCAATATCAATACAGTGTTTGAACTATTTCTCTTCCCTTCACTCCCTAGAAAATTAGAGATAAATAGCAGATCTTTTCCCAACAGCTGCAGAGAGTTTTCAAAAATAAGCATTCATTATGAGTGATAAACATAATTTTAAAAACTAAAAGCATTAACTATAACTGTGAGGAGCAGATGTGACTCAAAAACTTTTCCCCTCAACTATTTTAGCAGTTTAGCTACAACTTCCCAAAGGTCATGGTGAAAAGAATCTACTGAAGCTGCACTTAGCCCCCAGCCTGAGTGACAACACAGAGCCTGCCATGGAGGTTAGCACACCTGGATCTGAAGTCACAAAGGCTAGGGGTTCTCATAAAATTTATATTATTATTTAATAACAGAATGCAAATACCGTTAATACAGATTTTTGCTAACTAATTTTAATAAAAGATCAAAGCTGTAAGTAGTTTCTTTTTATCTCATCTGATCCATTCACTCAGTATTTTACTAATTCATGTATTCATTCAAAGTCCATTTAATGACCACCTCCCATGTGGCTATTCATACATGCAAAAATCTCACATTACAGTAATACAACTGACAGTTCCTTCTGTTATATTCCAAAACACCTATGGGGACAGAGTACACATAAAAAGGAGTCAGAAAGGATCAAGTACTACATTGTCTCCTTCAAAATTCTATCTGACCTCAGGAGCCATCCAAAATGGTGTTCCTACAGATGTATTCCGACGGTGCCGGGTGCTGGTAAGCTGTGCAGACACACCTGGAAGGAAGAAACGAGATGCACTTCTTGCATTAATTACTCATGTAAAGAGTTTCCAATCACTATACATTTTCTTACAAACTAATATTAAAATTCTGTCCCCTCAAAGTTGCCAGTGAACTTAACTTTACATAAAAGGATCCTAAATTAGGGTTTCTACATAGCCAAAATGCAGAATGGTCCTTCTATTTTCTGTTTCTCATATCTGAGTCCTACTCCTCACTAAAGTCCCATTTCAAGTCTTAGTTCTCCTATGTTGACCTTTAATCTGCTGCTGATCATACTAATCTCTATTTCTTTTGATTTTCTACATTTTAATGTATTACATTAATGTATTACATTTGTCTGCAATATATATATATGTGTATAGCAAGTATATGTAATTGTTATTTGTATGGTTTGTTTCCTCCCCTCTCACTTCCTCCCCCTGCCCACTAACAGATTTTGGTGAATCTGAGAATGTTCTATATGATGTTATGTGCATAGCAGGTAGCCTGTGAAAATGCATAAAATTATTTTCCATCTCTCAACCCTTGACAAATCACACCTGATCTGGCTGGAAGTTTCAAATTAACTACATTTATTTAAATCATTACTAGAACTAATTCTTTTCCTTTAAAGAGATAACAGATTGAGGGGCTATGATGAAGAGATATAATGAAATATTTTACTCATGTCATTCCATTAGTTCCATGTATCATAACTCTCATAATCATAACTGAGAATCAGCAGTAAGGTTTCTCTTCTCAATTTTTTTTCTTTTTGTTTTTTTTTTTTTTTTGAGTTGGAGTCTCACTCCATTGCCCAGGCTGGACTGTAATGGCACGCTCACTGCCACCCCAACGTCAGCCTTCTGGGCTCTGGTGATCCTTCTGCCTCAGCCTTTCAAGTAGCCAGAACTACAGGCGCATGCTACCATGCCTGGCTAATTTTTTGATTTATAGTAGAGATGAGGTCTTGCCAAGTTGCTGAGGCTGTTCTTGAACCCTTGGGCTCAGGCAATCCCCACCTTGGCCTCCCAAATTTCTTTGCAATTTTCACACTCTTGGTCCTCATGCAAGGGAGCCTGGTTACCACTGACTGTACCGTGCTCCTATTCTGGACATCATGGGTTATACTCAAATTATGCACTTTCATTCCCTGCTTTGAAAAGTACCTACCAGGTGTCACATTAATTCTAGACTCTGGTTGCTTATAAGTTACATAAAGGAAAAAGCACTCATTGAGATTTAAAATGAGAATAGATTTTATTCTCCAAAATGGCATTTGACTTTTACCATGAAATTCAAGGCCATATTCAACCAAACTGGTGTTTCAGTAGCAGAAATATACTTGGGCAGAGGGATGAGGAGTGTGTTTTGGTTCTACATTAATTACATCTCAATGACCCACTCTATCTAAATAAATCCTGTCCTAAAAGAATTTTAATCTATGACCTTCAAATTTTGCCTTTTAAAAAGTTCATTATTTGAGATCCCCACTAAATCATTTTCAAATTCAAAGATTATCTAATCTGTGCTTGAAGATTCTCCCTTCAATATTTTCCAACAGACTATCTGGAGAAGGAGAATCAGTAAAGTCCCATTTCCCCAAAATGCATATTCTATATTTAACTTTTTTCTTTTTAACATTTCAAAAAAATTAAATTTCAATCTAAACATTTTATCTTGTCCTGTTCTATGAATTAAAGACAGTGACTAAACTTGGATATTATGGTGTATCAGAAGATAGTAATTTATTGATATAATTGGGGAAAGTAAATAAGTTTTAAAAGCAAATTTAATTTAAAATCAGTTCTAAATTTTCAAAAATTATATTAAGGGTTTCCAGTTATTAATGAAAAATTTTATAGTATTATAGTTTTCAAGGTCTGCTTATGAGTGAGAACATATGACACTCTGTTATTTGTTTCTGTGCTAGATCACTGAGTATGATCGACTCCAAATCATCCAAGTTGCTTGGCAGTAATGGGAAACTGACAGGGGAGGGGGATGGGATTGGCAGTTGAGGGAAACTGCTAGGGGAGGGAGGGGCATACCTCATCAACAAGGGTACCTGCATAATCAATGCTTGTATACCTAAACCTGAATTGTACCCCACATCTTTATAATTAAAAAATAAATAGAATGATCTCTCACAGAAACAAAGATCTGAGTGTCATATGTTCTCATTCATAAGTGGACCTTGAACATCTATTGTAAAGGATTGACAGTGGCAGGAAACTATGGGGGGGTAGTAAGGGAAAGGGAGGTGAGATTAACGGTAGTCAATATCTGTCTGGGGACAGGGAGACACCCCTTATCAACAAGGGTGCCTGAACAATGCATATTTGTATACCTAACCTTTAACTGTACCCCACAAATTTAAAATAAAAAATATGTTTTTTTTAAAAAAAGAAATTATAACAATAATTGCCTCTTGTGGAACTAAGTTTTCTGCTTTTCTTCTGAGTTACCTGCATTTTGCTTGGCTTTATCTTCACAGTAAAACCCAGAATAAGTAACCTTCTAAAGTTTAATTTGTGTGAGAGGAGGAATCTTGTTTGTCTTGTATACACAGTCACTGCATAAAAGAGTACTTAGTACAAATAAAGGCCCTTAATAAATGTTTGTTGAGATAGATAAGTGATCAATAAAAATCCATCAGAAGGGAAGAAAAAAATAAATAAGTAAATAATTTTTTTAAAAAGAAAAATTTTTAAGTTATATTTGACCCTTGGTGAATATTTTTCTTTCAATTTTATAGAGATAATTTAAGAATTCAAATATCACTTAACTGAAATGTGAAGGGAAGGGGAAAAAAAACAAACAAATAAAAATCAAATTTTGCTCCTAGTAGGAAAGTGACATTTTACACATTTTCTCTTTCTGAATATGATGATTCCATCACTAGAAATGGCAGTTTTTAGCAAGTAGCCATCTACTAGTACTTTAATTTATAGACACAGACAGCTGAAAAGGACTTTCCCTCCACAATCCCAGGAAATAAACATGGAATGATGCCAATAAGATTTTTTAGGGGTGTGGCATATGAGTCATGGTAGACCATCACACTCTTTTTCTTGGAAATGTGAATCTTGAGTGGAAACACTGAAGGAGAGAAGGTAACGAGAGCTGAGTTAGCCAGTAGCAGGGTCCTAAGGGTGAGTTCAGGTGATTTTCTTCCTGAGGTCTAGGGCTTTCACAGCTGTGTCCTTGGGATGCCAGAATGCCCAGCTTCTCCCTGGATTTTGTGAACCAGCCAGTGTTGTTTTCAACATCCTTACCTAAGTTGATCAGAGTCCATTCCTGACTGACAAGTATAAAACCCCAATGATTTTACATCTAAAATAGCAAAGTGTCAAGAGCATAGTTGATAATGAGTTTACAAAGCCTAACAGTCATTAGACTTTATATAAATATGAGATTATATTTTATTTATATACTTATATTAATATAAGATCAATAATTTTCTAAGGAAGGCAAATATTTAGTCTGCAATCTTTTCAATCAAACATCCCAAACAGAAAGAAATGTTTGAGCAAGAATACTGTATATAGATATAGTAATAGACTTCTCTATATATTTACTAGCATACCAATATATGTATTATGAAACATATAAAAGATAATGAGATTAAAGCATGAGATTAAAATAATAATTATAATAGAAATATGACTATTTCTTCCTGTACACCAATGATGTTTTGCACATATCCTGGCACTGATGCCCTCTTCAAAATCTGATCAATTGCTGTCTGTTGGTATCCTGAAGAAGGAATGTTTTACACATGGTTTCTTAAAGAGTAAACTGTATGCTAACAAGAAAAATTCAGCCCAGACTGTAAAGGAGGAAAAAGTCCCAAATTAAGTGAAAATACAACTAGATAAAGGAATCCTTGAGTCTGAGAATACCAGATTATTATGACATTAAAAACAGGACACATGCCCAACTATGAACATGTGACACAGAGAAAGACATTTACTAAATTTCATGTTTTTTAAGAATCTTCAATGCCTGTTAAACCTCAAAATCATTTTACCAACACAGCCAAACAGCTTCACAGCTAGAAGACAACTTAATGGTCATAAATTCTAACTTGCTTATTTTCAGGTTAGTAAAGTTAAGCTGGATAAAGAAGTCACTCCAGAGGATAAATAGCATTTGTACTTAATATAAATTCCCACAAGAAAAATAGCTAAGGAAATAGAAAAATGCAAAATTCTATTAAAAATGATTGACATACATTACTTTAAAAGGCAACAGGGATCCAAAGTATGAGTTCAGGAGCCCTAGGAAATAAAGAAGATTAGTAAAATCTTCTCATCCAGAGAGTAGCTAATGGAATAAGTTACCAAAGTAAATAGTTACATAATCATCTCAAGAGAGAAGACGCTGATGGACTGGAAAATTCCAGGCAGAAAGTTGGGATAGCAAGAGAATATGGAAAGAAATAAGAAGACAAAAAGGATCAGGGTTGAACAGAAAACAGGCAGAGAGGATAATAATCTATTAAAAGTCAAAGCCACAGGAGCATCATAGAGGTTTATGTTAGTGAGTCTTTAGCCTTTTGCTTTACTAGGGAATTTTCAGGCTATTGTAGGCCCATCCAGCAAGGCTTCCTAGGCTGTTTCATGGCTGTACAGCAACCCCATTTGATATTGTGTAAGTCTCATTTCTAGGGAGAGAAATGTACAGACTTTATCCCTGCAATCAAGAGGTCTCTAAGGGTCGTAGGGAGACAGTAGAAACATCAAATATGTGGTTTCTAATGTGGTTCAATAGACCAGACTACTGTCAGGAACTTGATTTGCTATCACCATATAGCAAAACCCTTGACATCACAATAGAACAGAGAGATAAGTACATTTTCTGTCGTTAAAAACAAAATATTGCAGTTGTAAGAATTGAAATTATCAAAATATAGACTTTTGTCAATATAAAGAGGTCAAAAATGTATTATGCCATTTAATATCATTTTGCTGATGAGACTAACATAGTGAGGTTGCTGGGTGTGGTGGC